CTTTTCACTGATTCGCCTCAATACCTACTATTACTCCAGCATAACAGCTTCTAGCCTGGACCTGTCCAGAAGAGGAAAGGTAGTGAGGTACATCCACTAGCTGCCTTACTAATCCTCATACAAATCTTCACTGATTTGATGGAAACGACTTTGTGATTTGAGTCTTGAAAACTCCCCATTGTTGATTAAGATTAGAAGCAATATTACTAGCTAACATTTTGTTTTCATTTCTTCTATGAAGTAAGGAATAGGACATCAAACATTATTTTCCCTCAGTCCCTTAATTAAGTGCTCTTTAAAAGATCAAAGTGAGCCTGAGATGTATCTCACTAGACAGTCAATGAATACTGCCTTGAGATTTTGTTTTCTTGTGTAATGTCCAAGTAGAAGAAAAGAGTTCAGTGTGTACCCAGTGAGCCTTCTGAAGAATGTGGTTCACAGCTACATTCCAAAGCAGTGATGATGTTGAAAGTGACAGAACCATTTACATATGAGATTGGAAAAGATGAGAAAATGTTTCATGCCACTGTGTCTGATGAACAGAGATACATCCAAATGAAAGTCTTTGACATAAGAGTTAAGGAAAAGTTCATCCCAAAAAAATGTCATCACCATATCAAATTATGATAATCGAGATGGGTTCCTGGCAGTCCACAAATCCTCCACAGTGTCTAATGTGTGTGCTGACCAAGGGATCAGCATCTCTCCTGCTCTGATTAAGCACGACAAAGCAACTCCTAAAATCAGACAGATTCATTCAAAAACAGAAAGAAAATATGTGAATGGGATGAATTTACTCTATATATCATTTCTCTAAAGCAAATAGTTTATGGCTCATAAACCAGAGTGGAGCACTCAGATTAAACTGGATATTTCTATTTACACTTTAGGTGTGATCCTTAAGGATTCAGCCTCATGATGCATGAGTAAGCTGTGCTGTTTAGAGAAACAAAAATAAGGGGCAGGTGGGGCCTGAAATCTAGTGTGAGTTTCAATGGTGAGGACCTGTGTCCTGGGAGGGTTAATTAGGTCAGGATAAGTATTGTAGAATTTTTCTCCTGGAGGAGACATAATGGGTACTGTGTCTGCCACTTGATTGCCTTTTGATGATTTCTAGGAATGTAGTAGAGTGTCAGGACAAATTGTAGCCCTGTCTGTTGTCAGATATGTGATTCCACTCCTTTACTCAAACATGAGAGGCTGCATGGTAGCTCTCCTACCACTAGTTCTCCCTTTCCACATGTGTGGATCCATCAGGACTGTGTCCCAGACACATCTGCTTTAGGCCAAGACTGAAGTTAATTTTCAATAACAGAAACCAACATGAGGAGTTTAAATATTCATTATATTTGCAGATCGTATATTTGTTATTTATATCTGTTATTTGGTATTTCACAGTTATTTCTGACACTTAGTCTTCACATTAGTTCTAAAAGTTTGATAGGATTTTCTTTTCTTTTTGCTTTTTACTCTATAATAGTTTGGAAGAACAACAGACAATGAAAATCCATTTCTGAATTATATTTAGGTGGTAAATTAGAACTTGATTTAGAACCTTGGCTATCTGAATTTGATGTCTATTGTTTAGAGGAAAAAGTGTGAAATTGAAGAAAAAATTGATAAACAGAATAGAGAATTTGTCAGCAATTTAGGGGACCTAAGAGAGATTTTCATGAGTATGGTCCCCAGGTAAACAGTGTGTGCAAGATATGAGCCACACGAGCAGATAGGATGCAGCTTATCAGAGCACAAGAGGGCAAGACAGCCAGATAACAATCCATCCTCTTCACTAGTGTATAATTATTGTAGGGGTTGTTATCACATACTTCCATTCTTTGGTAGTGCTTTAAAAGTGCATTCATGATTACCAGCACTAAGTCATGATTACTTGACAGCATCCCACTGTCCACATGCACTAGACAAGATGTGACAAATGCTCAAGCATCCTTAGATGCCCATAGGTTTGAAATACTCTGAGTGGTCACACTACGAAGTTTAATACTGCTAAGAACCCAGGGTATTAATGTCCAACTTATCTTTAAATAAAGAAATAGCCCAAACATTCTACCATTATGTTCTGAAGTCAAAGATACACAAATTACAATGTATTACCTCCTATCAAATTATGTGTCTTTTATTATACTAGACTTATAGAATGTCAAGTCTAATTAGACATTTTTTAATTTTTTGTCAGATACAATTCTAATAGACTACATTCATGTATTTATTTATATGCATATTTATATGCATAGCTAAATATGTGTAAATACATTATATATCATTTAAATATATTACAGAATAATATTTCTAATTAAAGATTATTTTGGTTACATGGGAACCACATTCTGAAATAAATATAGATAACATGTTCATATAGGTACTTTTTGCATCATAATTTGTTTTTCATCTTTCATCATTTCAATGATGTTTTATTAATAACATGGAGGTAGATGTCCAAAATCACATTTTATAATTTGTTATATACTTAGCCAGACAATATCACTATACACTATGCATGTACACTTTGATCTGATTTTGCTGCCTGTCCTTGAAAATATGACATTTCAATATTCCTTTCCCCAGCATCTTTTTTTAAGCTTACACATGTATTTTATACTGTAAGAAAACAAGATTCGTGTGGCATTCTCTTCTTTCTCATTAAGCCCTCAATTACATACATATTTCCTCATGTTTTCTCTTATATCTGAAACTGTTTTTGAGACACAATTGTCCCTAGTCAAATTTGTGTCCATTTGGCTTAATTTCATTCAACAGAATAAAGAGCTTTGCTTTTTTGATGTTGTTGTCGACAATTACTTCCTATCAATGTTTTTGTGTATGTCTTTTCCTTTCAAAACTACTGAGCCCTTTAACAACACTATAAGAATGGTGTGTGAGAGGGAATTTGCTCCTTTTTGTTCTCTCCTGAGGATAGAACAGGCATTTCCCATCAAATGCTAACACCCCACTCTCAAATATTCCAGTTTCTAGAAGTTTGACAACTAATTTTATGTTTTTTTATAAATTCCTCAGTGGGGATAATCTATAATACTAACACAGAACAGACTAAGACCATAGGAAGATAGGCCTTGTCCCTACCAGTGAAGATCAGATAATAGTTGCTACAGTGAAGTAGGAACTTCATTCAGCTTTGTGTCAAGCAATACAGATGGATGAATGGTGTACCGTTCTCTTTTTCCTCAGGGTCCAAGAATAGACAGGCACACATTGAAAGTGCTGTGATCTCCCTTCTCTCACTGCCAAGCATGACCGCTTTGACAGTGTACCAAGCTGAAGTTGTCTTTCTCTTGCTTTGTTCTGAGATTTTTGTAGGATGGGACAGAACATTAATTATTTAATCATGCCTCTGAAGTTAGGAACAATGTACATTTTCAGGTATTCCTTTGCTTTGTCTTCTAAAATTTGCACAATATAAGTTGGAGATCATGTTTTTAATTATTTGAAGGTAATAATAGAGATTGTAATAACTACTATGAAGACAACAATATGCAATGTATTAATTATTGTAACTGAACTAATAACCTGTCTTGAAACTGTCTCATTGCTATTTGTTTCTCAATAAAAAATAATAATAATAAAAGGCATTATGTGCAAGTAGCAGCTACCCAAAGTGAATATAATTATGATGTACTGCAAGCATGTAGTAATAAAAATAAAAATTAAATAAACAAAAAATAAAAATAGGTACTGAGTTGTACATTGGAGTTGTAACTGACAGCAAAAAACAATAGTGTAGTATACTCAATCCATCATCAATGGAATGATTAAGGGCAATAAAGGTCTTTAATCATGGTGAACCTGTCATACAAGCACTATTTTGTGAGATCTTTTTTGGGACTCTCTGACCTTCTTTTGACCATCCTAACATCTCTCACTGTCCAGTGCTTTAGATATAAATATAGATAGATAGATAGATAGATAGATAGATAGATAGATAGATAGATAGATTGACAGATAGATAGATAGATAGATAGATAGATAGATAGATAGATAGA